CTTTGCCAAAACATAGAACTAGGAAATGAGCAGAGAAAGTACCTAAATCTAACTCCAAAATCTAGTATTTATAGCTTCCCAGTATCCCCCACCCCTTTAATTTTTTCACTACCAACTCTTTCACTATCTACTGTTAAATGCCTGCAGGATACACAGAGTTCCTCCCAAAGACCAACTGCCCTGCCAATGTCCTCATCAAGCCTGGCCAGGAAGCGAACACAGGGCCAAAGCTGGGCCTTGGGCTAGTGCCTGCTCTGTGAAATCCCCTGAAATCTAACAGCAGAGTGGACCTTCCTCAGGAAACCCAGGGGCCACAGGATTAAGTCTGACCTCTCTCCCCATGTGTTAGAGGATAATATTTCTTCAAAGCAAAAATCATGAATTGTAAAATGAACACATAGTAAAGATCTAACTCGTTAACTGAATTGAGGGGGTGGTGTTAGATGTCATAGTTCATTCAAAATGACCAGCTAATGTTTGACAAAAGAATGTTGACATGATTTTTATATGGGCTTAGAGCTTGCTTTATTATTTGGGGAAGAGCAGGATTATTTACAGATCTATAGATATGAATTACTTATATTTCTGTGATAGTTTACAGTGCTATAAAACTGCTCAAAGATAGTAAAAAGTCAGAGCTCCTATAGATTCAGATAATCTTGGAGGGCTCCAACATCCCCTTTAAAAAGCTATTTTGTAATCACCTTTACTTCTCCCAAACTCTTAAGCTCTTCCTTGCAAACGAGTGACTTCCCACAGGATATCTCTGCTGGCTTCTCCTTCTCAGAAATGAGTTTTCATTTATCCTTAGGAAGTCTTAGATTGTAGGCTTTCAAGGTAGACAAACCTTGAGTTCAAAATCTCCATTTAGCATTGCTAACTAGTGGCTTCATGTAGATCACACAGCTAAATCCCCCTTTAATAGAACAGTTGGGACTGAAGTATCTGGAACATGGTAGCAACAGAATCAAACACTTTGATGTTCTACTCTGTGTGAGTCACAATTTCTAATGTATCTGTCCAACACATTGCTATCTCTGTTCTACATGTGTGGAAACTGAGGTCCCTGGAAGTGGTGTGCTCTTTGGAGCTGGGATGTGATGTGGGACAGTTACTGTTGCTGTGCCCAGTGCTACCAGCCTTTGCAGCATGAATTGGCCTGACTGTCCATTCTAAGGCTCCAGTTATGAGACTAGAGGTCATCTCATCCACCTGACTGCTGTATCCAGTTGGCACTGGATTGTGACATAAATGCATGGTTTATTGTTTTCCTAAGCCTTGCTGGGTCAAGACTTCAGGGTCTATTTCTTTGTTTTTCATGTTATTGTTGTATATTTGTAATTTTATTGAAATACAGGAATACAGAGAAACCCTGTCTCGAAAAACCAAAAAACAACAACAACAAAAATGTACAGTTCAGTGAATTTCCACAAAGTGAAAACAAATACACACAAGAGCACTCATATCAAGAAACAGAATATTGGTAGCACCCCAAGACCACCTCACATGTAACCTAGCCCTTACACCTAGGGTAACCATTCCCCATGCCTCTAATAGCATAGTGTATATTGATACAAAGGCAATCATAGTCTACAGTGTGTGTGTGTGTGTGTGTGTGTGTGTGTGTGTTTATCCACCAATGTTCTGTTGGTGAGATTTATCCACATTGTTGAATGTAGTTGGTTTGCTACCATTGATATATAGACACAATTAACTATCTTTTATATAGTGGGCAGACATTTAAGAAGGTTCTACTTTGTGGTCACGGTACATACCTATTGGCCCATAGGGTCCCATATTTTTGTAGAATCTGCTTTTTTATTTTTTAAGTTATTGAGTTATTTAGCAAGACATTTCTTAATTCAGTCTTAACGGATGGGTCTGCCTCATTTCTCTTTTGCCACAATCAGCAACTTTTCTTTTGTACCCTTCCTTTGTTAGGGTCAAATATGCCATACCTTTTGCAGGCCCCTAATATGTGCTGAGCAAGGGCCAAAGCTGACCTGTTAGGGCTCTAATGTTTACAAAGACCAGCTCTTTATATCGACATCCAGGCCACTGCAGAGAGCAGACTCAGCTTCCCGGGGCAGGCTCACACATTCTCAGGGGATCTGGGGACTCAGCAGCTGACCCTGTAACTGGCTTCCCTTCACACTCAGTTGCTGGTTTTCCCACTGTGGAGATGAAACTTTCTGTATTCCTCTTGTCTCCCAACTGAAAAGCATTTCTGTTCGGCTCCTCTCCTCACCTCACAGCCTCTTCCCTTTTCTCCTCTGGCCACACAGGGGCCTTACTTTAGTTGTTTGCCAGGGGCTGTGGATTTCACCTATATCTCTCTGAGATGTTTTGACCATCGGTGTTTCTGTTTCCTTTCCCTTCCCCTCAGGCCCCCTTAGTCATTGCCTCACCTGAAATCTCTTTTTCCAGATTGGCAGCCCTCCCGCTCCCAGAGTGCCTGACTTTCCATCAGGAAGGGTAAAGCACAGTTCTGGGTGAAGCAGGGCAGGTCAAAGGTTTATACACTGACTTGGTAGAGCATGAGGCAGAAATAAAAACTAGCTGCTTCTAGTTGTGAGAGCCAACTACAAAGAGGAATGGCTACAGGGATGAAAACAGCAGGAAGCACTGGCCTTCAGATTTGGACTGAGCTTCCCAACAAAAGAAAGTATAGATTATAGTGGTGCTGTTATCGGGACAATAAACGAAAACTTTAAAATAATTTTATAATAGATTTGAGAGAGTGTCTTATTCATTATTGTTATTTCTCCTAAACACCCAGCATAGTGTGGTCTATAAATATTTTAAGGCTTAATTAATGTTACTATTATCCCTGAACCATATGTATTGAATATTCGCTAGATAGCAGGTAGTTTCCAGTGTGTTACAACTGCAGCAGGTGGACACTATGGTTCCCCAAATGTAGAAGGCAAATCTCAGATGGTTACTTTCAGGAAGTCATAGCTCTTCGTGGACAGTTCCTGATTTAAACTCAGGTGAACTAATAGAGCCAACCTCTAAGGAATCTGAGATGACAAAATAAAGGGGTATTAAGGGACATTTCCATTTGCCAGAGAATAATACCAACTTGTGGGGAGAGACCGCCAGAAGCTTAAGCAGGCTGCATTCCCCTCTGCTGGACACAGCTAACAAGCCTTCACTGCGTTTGGTCTGCTGCTCTCTCTCCCAGTGCGGAAGCATATCCTTGGATGGAAGTAAGGCTGAGTGACACAGGGAGAGCTACGGTCCTTTGTCGTTTTAAGGGAGTGGTGTATTTCCTAAATTCCAAATCGGAACCTATGCTCTGAGAAGTAATAATGTCTTAGTATAAGCTCTGTGAGACTGGCTGCTGTCCTGGTGACGTTACACTCAGTGCAGGATCAAGGCAGAAGATAGGAGAACTCAAGGTCATTTAAGGAACTGGAATAAGGTTTTGAAGACATGGGTTCCAGTCCCAACAGGGCCACTTATTCAAGTGAGAAATATGGTTTAAATCTAAGAGTTTTTACTAGAAGAATCTGGAGATTGCCTTTGTGTGATGGGTTATATGTGAGTAGAAGAGGGAAACTCTGGTCAGTGGGAAACTAACCCTGAAAACAGGAATGCAAAAGGGGTGCCGCAGAAAATGGAGATCATAACTTCCTGAACTACACTGATCATCTAATAAACGTATCTCATATTCCAATTCACTAAGTTTAGCAAAAGGTCAGCCCCAGAACTCATACAAGAGACACAAGCGAGTCCATAGCATTGTTTCAGGATGTCAGTGCCATATACTCACATGGCCATTTCCCAATATGAGAAGACATTCTGAACCTGATTATTTTCCACTTGGAAAGAGAAGCATGCCATCTCAATGAGAGCCTGGTGTAAGGGGGTGACCAATACACTTGAAAGGAGAAAAGTTACGGTTGTTTTTCTCACAACTTGACAGTGATAAAACTCATACACACGTACTTTACTGGGAACACACATTCAGGTTCTTTCAAAACTGTCAGCAGTAGAATCTGTAGCACATTCAAGAGTAACAAGCACTTAACAATATACAAGATTTTGAAGAAATAATAGGATTTTCAAATGTATGTTCATTAGTCTACTGGAAAACCAACGCTGTGGGACCACATGGTGTTTGTCTAAAGAGGCCAAGTTCAACAGTTAACCAGATCATTGATTCTGAGAGAGTTTTTCTCCATCCACCCAGCACTCCTCCTTTCTGTCTTCTCCATGTTCCTACCCTCAACTCCTGTTTTTCCCCCCAACGTATTTTGTCTACATTATCTGGATATAACACTTTCAACTTTGTACTTCACTATAAAAATAGACTCGAGTGCTTGTCTACATGTGAAATAAAAGAAGATATTCCAGGAGAATTAGGTGAGTGAAGAATACTGGTTTAAAAAGTATCTTTAATCACAAAGCTCCAGAGACAGCAATAATTATCAGTGGACTCTTATAACTGTTATAATTAGAATATTCTGATATAATTAGCAAGAGAATTAGTTTGATGTGCTGACCCTCACCTTGATCATATGAGTCAAAATTACTTGGATGATTATCTAGACCTGTAAACAGACAGATTTGGGTGGACAGTTACACACTGTCTTTCTTTCACCATATAACTTCAGGTTCAAAAATGTACTTCCTAACAATGTTTGTCCTTGAATTTTTTAGGATATCTATGAACAAGTGTGTCTCTGTCGAGATGATCTTGACAGTGAGTTAGGAAAGTCAGATTAGGAATGGGAAAAGGACAGCTCATGCTTTCAAGGCACCTATACATATTTTACACTCATATGCAGCCATGTTGCTAAACAGTAAGACAAAAAGAACATTCATGCAGGCCACAGTGGCTGTCAACTCAATGGAAACACTTTATGTTTGTGAGTTTTAACTTTCAGTGTTTAAGTTACTGAATACTGACTATTACATACGTTTATAGTGACTTTAGAACACAGAGTGATGGATAGAAAATTAATCATTTATTTGACTCCTAGAGAGTTAATTCCACAGTGTACATTTGATCCATGGCTACAGTGATTCAATGAGACAGTTATTTGTTAAATCTCTAAGGTAACTACTATATCTGAGGTAGGATGAAAAAATGATTGATGAGGGTTTGGTCTTTGTTCTTTGAAAGAATGGGGTAATAGAGGGGAGGTAAGAAGATGTGTAAAATCAAGAGAGCTTTAGAAGTCAGGGCCCACTGGGATGCTGCATTAGCTGTAGACACAGTAGGCTTTCATTTCCCCAAACTAAACTAAAGGAACTAAGCAACAATGCAAACATTACAAAAAGATTTATTTGAATTGCACCATGTGATTTTTCCCCCTACACCACATATAGAGTCCTAGCTCTATTTTACTCAGGCCAGTACTAGTTAGGTCTGTTTTACCTGAATCTATATCTACTACAATCAAACTACATGTCTGGGAGCATGAATTGAGAGTAGGAAGGGATACCCTCATGTTTAACTTTTGTCCCAAACAGCTTACATATGGGTTCATCGGAAGTAACTGGGCTTAACTTGTGGAAACAGTCTAGATTGTTGCTTCCTACCCACAGTCACCACACAGAGAGATGTGTGCATGCATTCGTGTGTGTGTGTGTGTGTGTGAGTGTGTGAAAACTCCTTTATTCCTTTATGCTCAGTAGCAGGTAGGCTTGGCTTTTCTACTAACTTGAGGACTTCTGCCAGAGGTGTGAGATATGCTGACAACATCAGACATCAGCAGCAATGGAACTCTGGCAGGAGACTTGTCAGATTTAACTGATGGCCTGTCTTTCCCAAAGTATATTTTGTAGGCTCTGTCCTTTAAGGTTTCAGTCTCTCTCCATTTCTTTGCATCCTGGCTCTGTGGTGGAAGCCCATCTTGCTGACAAACCCTAGGAGCTGTGATAGTAAAATGCTTCAGGCCATCACATGTTCATTGTGAGGTTGATGCCACCTACCCGCTGAAATGGATGGTTTCCGTGTCACTACTGACACAGTAACACTCCAGAGTAGATACTGACTATACTTCTTTACTGCTTGAGGTACTTGTCTGAATTCCTCGGGGTGAAAATTATTTTCACAAGGTGTTTGTCCTCGTTTGGGTGCAAGGACAAGTCACTTTTTTTCGGTATGTTTTCAATACATCTTTTTTGCAGTGTCTTCACATGGAATCGCTTCAAAAGTGTAACCAGGATGACTTTCATCATCACCATGGCGATGTACTTCCCAGCACAGCTGCGGGGCCCAAAGCCAAATGGCTGAAAATACCTGTAGGGAACCTATGGAAATGATCATATGATTAGGCAGGTCATACAACCATCTTTCTTTGATTTGCTCTCAAAACACTTGTCAGTCAGAATGCCTTGGCTTGGCTTCAGCCACACTGCTTCCTCCCTGAGATAAACAACAGTGGCTAAAGAAGTCCCTGCTTTTGCTTCACATGTCAATGAGCTGGGGCATGGCAGGGCAAATCACCATCTGGGTAGTGCTAGCTATTCAGAAATTCTGCACAACAATTTCAGCTTTCCTAGTGCTTTGAGAGTTACTAAGACAAAGTTTGTCTTTGTGTGACTTCGTGTAATGGATAAAATGAAGATGAAAGCTGTAGATTTCCAGACTGTTAGTGTCAAGCTTCTTGTGTGTGTGAGAGAGGAGGGATCTCCATGGCCTGGGCTGGCTCCAGAGTTCTGGTGCTCTTGCCACTACCTGAGAGGGCTAGGATTCCAGGAACATGTTATTACACCAGGTCTTCTAACTACTTTTAGTTACTGTGAAAACTAATGTGAATCATGTCTGTCTGTCTTGTCCAATATGGACTTACATGACTTCAATATAAGATAATTATAAAATAAATAAAACGTATTGAGAAGACATTGTCCAGATTGCCTGTCTAGAAACACTAATTAGAGTGCTGGATCGACATTTGTGCTGTGTATAAGTAGGGAAAGAGGAGACAAAGGGGACTGTTTGGGAAATCTTGTCTTAATAACACTGTTTTGATGTAATGGAAGCAAAAATCCTTCCTACATATCAGTTATATAAAGAAGAAGGCTGATTCTTTTAATCATTGAGTTTTATTTGGAGGAAGATCTACTGCTTGGGGTCATTTGGTAGAATAAAGGCAGTGATAAAAACCAAATCTTACTTGATTTCTGTCTAAAGCCAAAATGGATTTCCTTTGCTTAGCTGCTGGGACATTGGAATCTAGATGATGCTAAAGTAGCGCAATTATGGTTTGTTTTTTTTTCCTTTTACTACATCATAGAAGAAGTGATAAATTCAGGGCCAGAGAGATGGCTCAGTGGTAAGAGCACTGGTTGCTTTTCCAGAGGACCTAGGTTCAGTTCCCAGTACCCAAAAGGCGGTTCACAAACATCCATAACTCCAGTTCCAAGAGATGTGATGCCCTCTTCTGAACTCTGTGTGTACCAGGCACACGCATGGCATACTTATGCACATGCAGACAAAACATTCGTACACATAAGGAATTTTAAAAAATGATAAATTTGAATGGAAGAGATTAGTTGCCTTAAGTAAATCTTTGCCAAATTAAGAATTTTCTATATTTTGCTTTACACACAGAGAGAGCCATTAGCTTTGGTTGGGGATGAACCTGCTAGCCATGTTCTAGGCTCTAGGACACAGGTGCTCCCATGAAGTAATAGAAGCTAAGTACGTCTGCTGCAAGCAAAGGCTGGAGAGGGTCTGACCGCACCGCCAGAAGCAACGTGCTCGGGTGTAAGGAGGAGCTCTTACATTCTTCTCAAAGTTTTCCAGGGTGAATTCATTGGGCTTGGGGAAGTACTCGAGTCTGTGCATTCTTCCGATATTCAGAATGATATTCGTTCCCTTTTTGACTGGGTAGCCATCAATCACATCGTCATCCAGGGCTCGACGCATGACCAAGTCCACAACAGGCTGGTACCTCATGCTTTCATTAATGAAGCTTTCTACCACTTTCAGATTTTGGATATCATCAATCCGTATGTCTCTGTCACCTGTGGGATACATACAGGGACAAGGAGAGCAATGTTAGGGACAAGCACTAAAGCTCTTCTTTTTTTTCCACAGGAAAACAAATGTTTGCAATTCTAGTGCATACAAATGTGCTGGAAACAAATGTGCTGTATCTGGTCTGCAAAGAGCTTTATAAAAGTTCAGATGTGAAATGATTTCATAGCAACAACCAAAAAGATTTCTTAAAAGTATCTGAAAATGTGGACCTTCATTCCCACTTGCAGACAATATGCAGAAGAATGGGGGATGGGCAGTCACCTCTTCAGAAGAGACAGGCACTCTGCAGTACCACGACAGCCACACCTACTCAGCATCTTGTCTGCCTCTTATTTGCGGGCCTCAAGTCTTTGAGTTTTCCATCTACTCCACATCCTAGGGACTGCTTACTTTGTCTCCTAATTTGTGAGTCAACTAGTGCAGTAACCAAACAATAGCCCAAACAAGGGTTGACAGGCTGCTGCAGAGTCAGAGAGACCATGGACTGAGTCTGTCCTATAAAACTCACTGCTTGGTCATTTGTACTAAGTCGTTTGTGCTTAGTCCCATGTGTCACTGACAGGCCCTCCACATCTGACCACAAACAAATTGTTCCTTGAAAGTGGCTTACTGCTCCCCATCATGAAAAACCATCATCCCACCTAGCTCTGGGTGTGGCTGAGGATAACAGACTCTGCCACTGTCTCAGCCTGGCCTGACATTGGTCAATGGGGCTTGGCAAGATTTCCAAGTCCCCTCAAATGAGCCACCACTTTTACAGAATCAAAGCATGCTGGGGTCTCAAGGTGTCCCTGTCTCCTGTAAAAGCAAGCCATGTAGGAAGTTTCAGTTCAGTCAGAAGAGTCTAGGAAGAAAGCCTGTGTCTTAGGTACTGTGCTCGTAACCAATAATCCAACTAGGTCGCAGAGGCAGAGGGAAGGTGACAGAGGTTTCTGAAAACAGCTGCTGGGAAGTCTGTGTGTGGACCACGAGAGGGAGCATGGATGCTGCAACATGCTCTGTTGCTTCCCTATCTTTGCAGAGTCTGATGGAGACACAGGGAGACTCTACGAGGCACAAACACATCTCACTCTCAAGGAGCTTGTGTTAGAGGTCTGATAAAAGCGCACTCTCAAAACCAGTTTCCCCTCCTACATCATCCTACAGTGCCCTCTCTCTCTTCATTCCAACTGAGTTCTCTTTCTCCCACCAGTCTACAAGCCACGCCAGCCCAGTAATGCTGTGTACCTTGAAAGCCTCACAGGAAACATTGAGAAAGCATTCTGGAATCTGGGACAGCGTTATCCTGTCTCCTTGTTCTCTCCCTTTCCGATGCATCTACAGAACCCTTCTCTCATACATTTAAACTAATACAGCTTTGTCTTAGCGTCAACTATTTCATACAGCCATAAAAGCGCTTCTTAAAGGTGGTGTGATTCCACAACCAATAACTTCTTTCAGCAGCACTGTGTAAAGCCAGGGAAGTCCTCCTCGAGCTATGTCTTCTCCTATCTGTTCGTAAACAGATCACCCAGGTGAAGACAACTCCCATTAAGTTTTGGCTTTCTCCCAGAAAACAGTCCTGATTTTGTGTTTCTAAAGCAGAGTGGGGACAGGATGATGCTGAGGCAGAGCCATGAAAATAGGTACGGAAGAACTGAATGCAGCCCTGGGGGCTTCTCTGCAGAGGGGTTGAGTGGGGAGAAAGGGGCCACATCGCTGGATTAAAGTGGAGAAGGAAGCCCATCGCTTAGCCTCTGCTAACCCCCTGTCCTCCTCCTGCCACCAATTGAAATCCACAAACACCACTTCTGTAAGCAATAGATAATTTTTCCTAGCTGAAGTCACTAAAAAAGATATGTAACTCACGAGGTGGGTAGATCATATACTCAAGTTCTCCAGCTACGGATTCAAATAACAGCATTAAATATATTTTATTGTGTTTGTACTGAACACGCACATCGTTTATTTTGTAGTTATTCTCCAGATAATACAATATCATAACTATATAGCATTATATTGCATTAGGTATTATAAACAATGGAGAGGTGACAGTCTGTGGGAGGTTACAACTAGGTTATAAGTACTATGTAGTATGATTTTCCTAAGACAGACAAACTTGACCATATGTCTGTGTGCACACGGAATAAGGTCTCAAGCTGGAAAGATGGCTCAACAGGTAAATGTTAGTCACCAAGCCTTTGATCCCCAGACCTCAGATGGGAGAAGGAGAGAAATGACTCCCACAAGTTGTCCTCTGACTTCCGCATTCATGTGTGTACACACATGCCCTCTCACTCCCCGCCCCCACAGACACAGAGACACAGACACACATGCAGGGGACACACACACACACACACATACACACACACAGACACACACAGGGGACACACACACAGGACACACACACAGACACACACACAGGGGACACACACACAGGACACACACACAGGACACACACACAGAGGACACACACACAGGACACACATACACACACATCACACGCACATCACACGCACATCACACACACGCACACACGACACACACACATCACACACATACACACACAATAAAAAGCTCTTGAACATACAGAAAGCAAGTAGAAGTGAGGGTGAGGCTCTAAGTGAAAAGAATTAGGACATCACTTTCTGCTTTATGTATTACGCTGGTGCTTGAATTTTTCAATAAGCACATATTTTTTTATGATTTATACAATATATAAATAGGAGAGACTGTCATTTTAACCTACTCAGCATAGCCAAGATATGGCAGGATTACTTTGTTTTACTTTTATTTTACGTTTGCTATCAGATTCTTAAAACGTAAGAAGCCACCGACATTGACATTCAGAAGGGAAGTTTTAAAACACTATTATTTATTTGATCGCTGCTTACCAACAACAGTGTGGATTTCCTTCAGTATTGCCTTTTCAGCCTCGGGGTACTCTGCAATGAGCAGTAGCATGAAGTACAGAGTGACAGACATGGTGTCGGGTGCGGCGATCAGCATTTCCAGTACACACTGGTTCACATTCTCTTTCGTCAGGTCTCCACGCCTCTGAGGAGGTGAAGAGACGAGAAAATGTTGGCAGATGCAATCAAGTTTCAGAAAATGAGAAGAGGTGACACTCAAACATCAGCAATCTTAAGGAGAAGAAATTACAGGTCTCTTTAGTTAGCGCCAGCATCTTACACACTAGCATTCTGCTTAAAGATACACAAATAGCTGATGACCTACATGCCATTGACCCTCCATATACTTGAGTTCCACGTTTACGGATTAACTAACTGGGCATCGCATATGTTTTGTTGTGGTTTTATTAAATGGATACAGACTTTTTGTAGTTATTCTCTAAATAATGAAACATCATAACTCTTAGTGAAGGTTATACTGTATTAGGTATTATAAACAATCCAGAGGTGAGTGAACCCCTGCGGGAGGACATGAGTACATGTGAGCACTCTGGCATTGTAGAGATAAGGTTTAAATATCCCTGTATTCTGGTATCTGGGGAGAGTTCTGCAGTAAAAATTCCAGATATTGAGGGATACTTTTATTTAGTGTCTTAGGTCTCCTCTCTTCCTGGTTTCATATATTGTATTACAATACAGAAGAATTTGAATGATGAATGTCATAAAATGGCAGGTGTTTGGGATAGTTTGGTGGAGTATCATAAGACTGCTTGCTAGAGAGATTTTAAAAAATCATGCCACAGTTCTGAAAAGGATTCTTTAAATTATGGTGTGCCATCATAATATATATCAGATGGGGAATTGTGGTTCATTCGGGTCGAATACCTCAGCAAAAATCAAATCAGTTGCAAAATCCATACAGTCTTCCAGTTTCTCGGCTGTGGAAATCTTGTGTCTTTTTTCTTCCACCAAAACAGCTATCGCGTCTTTCAAGTCCTTGCTGGGGGGGGGGGGTCAAAAATTTCTCAGTTTAGACATCCTGCAAAACAGATTCTGCTCACTTTATAGCTATTGGCACTCGTGAGTAAATGAGTTTGTGTTTTATTTCTTCACAAATATACATAAGTTACAGGAAGCGTTCATCTTATGGTACCAGAGTTAACTGAGATTTCTAAACACTGGTAGTCGTCTCAAAATTGTGACTTTAATTCTGTGTTTCCGTTTTTCTAGATGTGCAGAAAGCTCTGACAAGGGTCTGTGTTAGGGCTCCCCAGGTTTTTCTGTCAACTCAAAATATATCACAGCCTCCTTGTTCCAGAGAGCCCCAGGCCACACATTTGGCCCCTTGCTGAGAAGCTTCTTAGCCAAAGCCTTCCTGTACTGGTTGGTCTGTCCCAGGGCAGCCAAACTGCTATGGATGCTTCACAAGTCACTCAACCAACATGTCCCTCTGCACTCTGGGGAGCATCACACATACCAAAGTGGCTAAGAGCAGCCACGAGCAGTGCAGCAGGACTGCGCCTGTAAACCCTCCAAACTCACGTTACTTACGCGGATCTTTCATACTTTCTGTAGAGCCAAGAAATCTTGAAGAAGATGTTTGGTTTGATGATGAGAGCTTGCCACGCATTAAAATAACCCTGGATTTTTTTCACAATGGAACTTTCTGTGAAACAAAAACAATGTGAGCAATACATTTGTTATTAAGTTATCTACTTGGCATCTAAATTGACTGTGTTAACCATAGAATTGCCAGCTTCCAAGTTTGTGCTTGAGACTACAGCCTAGACTCTCATGTCCCCTTTTGGTTGAGCTTTCCCTCTAGCTCTGACTTTTCTGGACAAGGGAGTAGTCATTATAGTTATTGCATCCCTGCTCCTGGCACCCGGAAGGGGTTGTTTGGACAAATGAGATGGCTTGGGGTGAGGGTCCTTGCCTCTCGATGTTTATAATTCAATTCCTGGAACCCACATAAAGGTGAGAGGTTGTCCCTGACCCCCACAGGTACACAGTAGCATGGGCGCCTTCCCCTTTCTCATCAGTAACAATAATGACATTAATTTTAAAAGCCTAAGCCCGTTGTGCCGCTAACACAGTCCAGCTGATTTTAGAGTTAGCTGAGACAGTCGCTGGACCACGCACGTACTTGGATTACCCACCTAATTAACAGTTCCTCAGTGTCTCACTTCTCAATGCTAAGCTCATTTTGTAGCACTCTTCACATGGCCTTCATACTTATCTATATTTGGCCCAAAGTATCATTTCAGTTTCTCCAATGCATTGTCCTGAGTCTTGTGCATTATCAATTACAGATAATATGATAACAAGTTAAATTGAATAATAAAGATAAAGAAAGTTCTTGCTTATTTTTTTCATATTACACCAGACCTATATACAAATGGGAAAGGAATCAACATTTATTTTCAACTGGCAAAATGTCAATCACTTCTAAGTTGCTTTACAGAGCTTTTAAATTTAATCCTTATAGTCTTGCCAGGGGAATGAAAGATTAACCTTTGTTTTACAAATAAAGAAGTACAATTCATGGAAATTAAGGATGCATCCCATATGGCCAGCAGGTCAGCTTGGGAATTTAACAAATGCCCAGTATAAAGGGAAACAAAGGTAATCTACTTGAATTATACAGCTGTTGTGGCACAGTCTGGACCAGTCATTGGTTAATGGAGAGATCTACAGTTCCCTCGACACAACCCTTCCTAACAATGCAGGCCTGGGGGAACCCAAGAAGCAGGGTGGGATCAGCAAGTCTCTATATAACTTTAGCAGAAATGTATGCAGGAAGACTGGAGCAGATCAGGTGAAAAGTTACACAAAAACTTCCCAGAGTAAATGCATAGTTAGATAAAGTCTCTATAGCCCTCTTGAAGAACAGTGGACTAGACAAGATAATCTGGGAGAAGAAAGACAGGGCTCATAGCTGATGTTGTTCAGATGTAGTAAGTCAGGTAACATGTGGATGGCTCAGAAGGGTTTCCACAAAAGCTAGGGCATAGGCATCATTCCCTTAGATTGTTTTTCTTTTAGCTCTGCACAGGACTGTGACTTCACCTTGTTCAGGCAATTTTCAAATGTCCTCTGTGAGGAGATCTTTCCTGACCACTCAACTCCATAATGACCACGACCACACTGCTACCCCACCTCAGTCCCTGCTCTTTTACCCTGATTTGGTTTTTGTCTCAAGGCACGTATTACTGCCTAGTATGTAATCTGGCATTTACTTGTTTTCCTGTCCATATACCCCCACTGCGATATAAGCTCCTCAAGGGTGAAAATGTACCCATCATCCTGGCTTTCTTCCCAGAACCTAGAATAAAGAATACCAATCAATATATATTGTTGAGTGAATGGACAAACCCATGAACATTGCTATAAATTAATTTAGAAAAGTTCCATACTAACGTCAACAGCAGAATGGAATCTATCCTAATAACCGTTTGCTTTGGGGTAGTGGTAGTTATGCGTACATTTTAAAATGTTCATCTTTTCTAGTTTAGTGGAGGAGGTGAGATGTCAGGTTGGGATAAATATTAAATGGCAGACATGTATGTAAAGTGTCTTTTCACGCTGTTTGGTATATAGATACCAAATGACTGGCAGCTGTTATCATCATTGCTGTCACTAGCAGCGCCATTGTTACCTCATATTATCATGTAAAGCCAAGTTCTCATATAGAGTAGCTTTGAGAGAAGGGATATGTACACATATAAATAGTTTTGTGTGTGTGAATGTCTGTGTGTGTGTGTGTGTGTGTGTGTGTGTGATGCCCAAAAGAATGGTTAGAAATGGTTAAATACATCCAATTTTCAATGCTATGTTAATGACCACACTAACTGATAATCTTTGCCCATAGTAGAATGTTCTATATAACAGCACAGGAGACACAGAAGAAATGGAGGTTGACCTCCACATTGAAAGTGTATAACCTACAAATGAACAGGCTGAAACACGAGAGGGGCTTTCTTAGACAAGAGCAATGTACAAAGTAGTGCTTTGCTTCAGTGTGTTGTCCCCACACGCCCTGTTTAAAAAGGAGCAGAATGCATGAGAATTCAAAACCCAGTACCATCCAGGGGAATCCCCAAGAAGAGTATGTTGGAGGCGTTCAGCATGATGTGCCGCATGAGGGTCAGCACGTCCACGGAGCCTGAGTTGTCGGTGACTTCATCCAGCCTGTCCAAATGCTGCTTGATGGACTCCTTACAAACTGTTACCATCCGAACCAGACCAGGGCCTGTCAGAGCTGAAGCACAGAGAGCTGGCCATCATAACACCAGGACACATACAAACAGGCTACTTTTGCCTTTTTATATCAGGAATAATTGTTTGCAACTTTACATTCAATAACAGGATGGGAGTTTTCATAATCTTCTCCATACCTTCTTGTGTTACCCTGATTGTCTATAAGACGTACTCACCTTTTTGACTAAAAATGAGTGAATATTACTTTTAAAAGATGATTCAAATTCAAGCTTTTCTTTAAGCCCTAGTTAATCATTTGTGAGACTGAAGATGAACCAGTAATTTTTCTGGGTACAATAACCAACAATTTTTTTTTACACTTACTGTACATGTTTCTCTTGAGATGATGCTTTGGATTTGGTCAGGGTCACATTTCTTTTACCTTTGAGCATGTGGAAGGATATTAATACAGGACCACTGAAATCGGTCCTCAGTCATGTCACCTCAGGTGCTTCCTAGGTAGCACAGATGGGCAAGGCCGGTCTTAGAAATGCTGACTGTGTGCCCTGCTCTTACTCTTAGCCTCTCTTCAGATTACCTCCAGATCTGTCTTACCCAGCAATGGCAGGCAGAGCAATTGTCATTTGCCTAGTAGGCTTCAGTGACTGGGGAACTCCTAAAAGGGTAACAACTATTTACTAGGATTGTACTTCAGCCAAGCCTGCATGAGGGCCCTTGACACACATTTGTCAGATAACTGAATGAGTGAATGGATGAACAAATGAGTGGATGAGTGGATGGATGATGGATGGATGGATGGATGGATGGCTCTGCCCTCCCCTTGCCCTGCTCCTGACCATCTGGGTGCTGGCTTTTGTAGCCAACAATGGTACATTTCTTTAAGTTTCCTTCAGGACTATGCTCTATTTTATGTCTTTTGTTATTCAGACTTGTTGAAAAAGGTCTTCAAATGGCATGGGAAATGTTGGGATACCTTGAAGGCAATCATTCTTTGAATCAGGAGATTTTTCTCTCATAAAGGGGAAACATATATCAGGAAACTTAGCAAATAAGAAAGGAAGCTTGCACCTACAATCCCAGCATTCTGGGGGCTGTGGCAGAAGGATTCTTAGAAGTTCAAGGCCAGTTTGGACCCCATAGTGAGTTTGAGGTCAATAAAGAATGTGGTAGATGGTGTGTGTTGGGGGTGGAACTGGAGAAGGGAGAGGAGAGAACAGAAGGGGGAGAGGAGGGGGAAGGGAAGGGGAGGAATGGAAGGGAAAAGGAGTGTCAGAGAGCTGGGGAGACCAGCCTAAGGGCACACTAAAAATTCCCAAATGTGTTAAAGAAGGCTGAAGTAGGAGCCTTCTCCAAGTGGAAGGACCTACCTGGGTGTTCTCTGTTCTCTGGGTAATGATCACGTTCAAGAGAGGGACAAATCATTCCTTAGTGACTCCGCCCATAGTAGTGAAGGGGTGGCTCCACATGTCACCCATAGTTTCCTTTTAGTTGAGTGTGGGATTTGCCTCTATGGCCAAGAACTTGAAGCCATATTTCACAAATCAGCAGAATGCCATATGATTGGTTATGGGCACTGGTGTATGCAGATATGATTTAATGTTTAAATATACTTAGAAGTATTCTTATCTTGGTCAAAAGAAGACTTGGTAAGTAATCAAACCTCATCAATAAATAGCTCTTTTGGCAGTTTCGGTACATAACTTCTCTATACTCCTACCTACCTCTCCCCCATCTCCCAGGATGAACCATTCCAAAGCTGTGTTTACCTGCTTCTCTACACCCCAATAGATTAATATTTCATAATGTTACTGACTTAGACTCGAAAATATGTCCCAGTTCTTCCCAGGAAAACCAAAGGACTCTAACTCCAAAAGGAGAGTAATCGAGCTGCTTAGGACTCTCATTAATTATAAAAATGTCAGGCACTTCAGTGTACTTTTTAGTAAGTAATTAGCTTACTATTTGTGGAATTTAATTGGGGTCTAATTTTATAACACTTTATTAGAAAATCCGATCTTACATATACAGGGCTTGTCGAAAATATTTACAAAGATGTGCTGACAAATCTCCAGGTTCTCTTAAAATGTTCCTCTTTTCACAGTTCTTGTCCTGTGACCTCTCCTCCATCTGTCCCTTGTCACTGCAATAACTCCCACCTGTTTTCCTTGTTCATAGTTGTATTTTATTCTCATTAAACTTTTGTCTGCTACCAGAGGAATTTTTCTAAAATACACACAAATGCCCATATCATTTTCCTTAAGTGAATCCTTGTAACTCTTGAGATATGCTCAAGTCATTGACTTAATAAGTGTCTTGAGTGACTTGGACCTGCCTTTCCCTTGAGCTTATGTTTGTCCTTGGAGGGTTCCTGGATATGTCATGATGATCTATATATCTTTCTCTGTTGTCAAATATCACATTCTTTTCTCCTACAGTGTCTTCCTTAGTTAGATTTTACTTCATTCAAACTTCAACATAAGCTTCCACTGTCCTGGACTGTCTTTCCTGAGCCCTTAGCAGCTTTGGGTAGCCTGCATGTCTGTTTTCTGAAATCTGATGCAACCTCTCCTAGACAGTATTTGATGATACGGTAAGGCCCACCTTACCCAGCCTTCCCATTACATGGTCCTCAAGGGCAGTATCAAGTCTTGCTTATTATTGTATTATTGGTATCTAATACAATGATGAGAACAGTGGTTTCTTAAATGAACAGATGAATTTGGAGATTCTATTATTCTTGAATTAATTCTTGGATGTGAAAGTTAACTACTACTAAATGCTAATTGACATATTCCTAGTAAGCCTGGGTCAAATGGCAAAGTGGAACACAATTTATGTTTCTATGAAGTCAGGCATGTTTTATTTGTTCTTTACAACAGCTCGAGTCCCAATTCTATACTATTCATCGATTTCTGAGTATAAAGAAATAAACCACACAGATACTGAGTGACTTGGCTCAAGTCCTCCTAGGAAGAGTAAATGTTGGGACATGAGCCCACTCTAATCCTGAGATGTGTACTTTTCCGCTAATCCAGTGTCAGTCTTGTAAGGCATAGGGCGATTGATCTACTTCAACACAGTGGCACACACAAAAATACTGTCAAAGTTGTCTAGGCTCCTAATCCCAAATGATTCAAGTGTGTGTCCTCAAGAAAAGGATATTATAGTGTGTCATCGTGGCAAGCCCAAACGGGCCCCAAGAGTCATTAGTGAGGAAACTTTCCCATCTGCGGTCATTAGAGAATGAAGGTGAGCTCAGAAGCTAGACGGGGTAAGATCAATGGCGCCTCCCATCCACAGGCTTGTCATCGCCTGCTGAACATGCCTGACTTCTGACCTGCAGAATTTTAAGATAGCAAGCATACCATTCATCCCACGCTGTCTAGTGTGTTACAGAGGAAGCAAGCATACTGTGTCTGTAGCAGCGTGGTTAGAGACCTACGGAGCCTGCATGGAGAGAAGAATTTTGATGGGCACGGTCATACCTAAACTCCATGTAGCTCCAGATACCATCTTGGCAAGATCGCCACGGCATGGCTATCTCTCCTAATGCTTGATTTAGTGTCAAAAATTGGTCTTGTGTAGTCCTCAACAGCTTCATTTTCAGAATGATACAATAAGGGACCCGTGCCAGGGAAGGAGACTTGGCATTGAGTCTCTGCTCACCTCTGACTTGCTTGACTGGTGGGAATCTCAACCCTTCTAGGACGTCATCATGTCTTCAACCATAAAACTCAGAGGCTGGATGAAGCAGCAGACAGAGTCTTTCCTATGTTAAGATTCTCTCTCTGTTCTCTCTTAAAGTCTCTGGCCTGTCAGAGAGTGGGTCTGCCAATGTATCGTTTGGTCATGCTTATATCAAACACTAAATCCCTAGTTGAAATGACCTTAAGTAGGCAGGTCCATCTCTTCAGTTTGTTGCGGCTACAATAATGGACTCTGGGGTTGTATTCTAGGGGCTAACATTTACTAATGTTGAATGAAATCTTGGGCAAGTATCTTAACCTGTTTGAAACTTAAGTTTTCTCACCCACAAAATGCAAGTGATAGGAAGTTTCACCAGATGAGGTTGCTGTGAAATTAAAATGTCAAGTGTTTAGGATGATGTTTGATGCATAAGCAAGGTATAAAGGGCTTATCAGTATTATTTCAAAATACGTGGCAGCCAAATTTAATCATATTTTTTAAAAAGAAGTATATTCCCATTTACCTTTCATAAAGAAAGGGCGAATTGTTTTCCAAAGGTCTGGATTATTGTTAAATATGATGCCATTCTCATGCATTCCGATGCACTGCAGTCCACGTTTGCTGCCAAATCTGGAGATGTAGTTACTGTGTTTCATTACATGGAACATACTTGAGGACCTGTAAAGAAGGCAGATCTCAGTGTTAATACAACATGGCAGGGGAGTTATGGTAGTCCACTCTGACTGCCTCTTTCATAATGGAAGCACATTGGCCCAAATGCAAAGCATGATTTCTAGTATTCAGGTTGAATAAGCATGCCAGGGAGCTTGAGAACATCCTTGTTCAACTAAACCATCTCTGCTTTCTGATTCCTTAAGGATCGCTGTAGGGTGAGTGAGAGTGAAGTCCTGAGTGAATTCGTGCTGTTGACAAAGACACCGCCGTGTTGACAATCAGGAGATGGCGGAACCTTCCCTTCTGGTCCAAGAGTGGATGCTGACAGTGAATGCAGAAAACATACATCATCACGTTCTCCCCCTGGATTTTTACAACCTGAAGACTGCTTCCCTCCAGACACAGCTCCTGCTGAGGTTAGCTAAACCCGCCTCCTTGTTCACCTATAATAATAATTCCTGCCTCATTGCTATCAGTATGCAACAGCCCCAGTCCCTGCTCAGCTGTATGCAATGACCCTGTTTCCCCACGCAACCCTACACAATAAACATGCCGAATTTAGGGGATGAGGGCAATGTCTGCAGCTTACCCCACTGGAATTAATAAAAAATGAGAAAACCACCTATAAAATAATAATAATGCTAATAAATAACTTACATAGTTGACATCTATTTCAGAAAAAAACTTAAAAACTATCAAAGTTCCAATTTAATTACCAATAATATTCATAAACGACTCAAGTTTTTGACAAGTTTTTCTTTCTAAAAACAAAACAAAAATTCAGATGGTTCAAATTGAATGCCAACAAATTAATCTGGCATTTCAAATTTTACTTAGGTAGAATTATCATTCTATAAAACAGACAGAAATTATTAATAATTAAAATAAGACCCATAGCTTCTCTTACCCTTTCCTAACTTACTCTAAAAGTAAAAAAGAATATATTTTTACATTCTTTGTTCACAACCTTGTATCTGAAGATTTTCAGTACTTGAGGGATGGGCAGAGCATTGTTTTTTCTGTCCTGGTTCCAGGGATTCTGGACAATACCTTTGTCTTATGGACTCTACTGAATGTTAGCTACCGCTTAAAATCTGTGTGCCCCTTAGAGGGCGCTATTGCCCTAGTTATTTCCAGTCTGAAGTTCTGCCAAGGAAATAAGTCCAGTCACAGAAGAGAAGTTGAAAGGGAGGTCATTTATCAAAGTGGGGCAGACTTTATAAAACAGAGTAAGTGAGCCTCTAATCTCGCCTCTACCTGGCTTCCTTCCGTTCAGCACCTCTGCCATCTTTGCTGTTCTTGAGCTGGCCAGACCTGCTCCTGCCTCGTGGCCCCTGCTTCTGCTGTCCCTTCTGCAGGATGCACTTTTCTCCAGAGTTCTGCCTAGATCTCATCCTCACTTCAAGTCTTTTGAACAATGTGTTTTATTTTCCATTTTCATGCATGCGCACCCATGTCTATGTCTATACATGTGTGGGTGTCCTGCGGAAGCCTTTGGTTCGTGCAGGAACCATCTTTGATCGGTCTTATTCTTTGATGCATCTCTCCAGCCCTCCTTTTAAGTCTGTCAATGAGACCTGCCTTAACTTACCAACTCACTCACAATTATACTAGCCTTCCCACAGCTAGTCCTCCCTAACCTTTTCCCAACTCCCCCTCCCTGGATAGTACAGATCTACTTGGTTTTCTTGGGACTGTCTCAACTTTAGCATTAAAAATCCCCAGCTTAAGAAATCCCATAACTTCATGCAAACTGAACAGTGGACCATCATGTATACACTGCATAATGACACTTCCGTCACAGATGGACTGCACGGTTAACAACGTGGCCTCGTGAGGTTATGTCACCTAATTACCATAGTGGTCATCCTATATACTCTATGATGCTCATACAGTGATGAAATAGCCTCAGAATGCATTTTCCAGACTGCACTTCTCAGAATGCATTTCCCAGAATGCATCCGTCGTTAAGGGATGCATGACTGACTATACTGTGCATTTCGCTTGTTTATTCACAGTATACTTACAGTATGTTGTCCCACGAGAGTAGGAACTTTGAGCTATTTTTATTCCCCAAATAGTGCTGTGTTCCGAGAGCAGAACCTGGTGTTTAGTATCTTCTCATTTATCAAAGCAATTAAAAGTAAATTCTTACTGTTAGTGCTAAGTCTCAAGCCTGGGACACATGGCTAACTGGGATGCCTGTTTAGCATACTGCTCCTAGGTACGTTGGAGAAGGAAGTCTATTGTAGCTACGAGGGAGAGCGTAGACAGAGATGGAGACAGAGACATCTGCGAGAGTCCAGAGTGAACATGGCCAGACTGAGCTGGGCCACGTGAGGAAAGGAGTGAAGGAGGGAGGGGACAGGAGCTGTGAACCAAGAGGGGACAGGCCAGCCAATAGGGTAATGGGTAGACCAAACGAGCCAGGTAACCAGGTGGCTGGATTATATAGGGAAGGGAGAGCTGGGGGAAGGGCAGCCCAACCCCTAGGCTGGAAAGTTCAGGGTAGGGGGCAGGGTGTGCCATCCATACCCTGTAACAGGTAGGGACTGAGGAATACTGGGAGAACCTGGCAGCCAGGGCCACTCTGACATGGTAAACAGGTACCTCAGTTAGCCTTTTGTTCAGGGATTGAGACCTAACAGTTAGTATATGAGCTCTTAATATAAACTGAATGAATTCCTTGTAAATTTACACATAATTAAGACAGGTGTGCAGACAAAACTTCTATTGGCATACTGAATGTTAATTATCCTTTATATATGTCACGTAAATGATTTTACTTTTGTATTTGTGACAAACATGAATGTGCACACACCTCCTGGACACAGAGCGTAGCATCTGTAGGTGTGGAACAGAATGGCCCAGGGGCGCTGCCTGGCTTTGCTGCGGGTTCCATTCTCACACACGTCTCAGAGCCTTACCTCAGTCTCGCAGGCAGCATGCACGCGGCACGCCTCCTGACTGCCTCCCCTGAAGTTCAGCAGCCTCTGATCCCCTGGGACAGGGCTGGTTGGAAAAGCTGGGCTGCAGTCACCACACAGTTGTAATGACTCTACACCTCAAACTTTCCAAAAGGAAAAGGAATCTGGAGAACCATTCAAATCAAAACAACAATCTCACTGAGGTCCAACAGGGTTGGCTCAAGAGGTACAGGTAGTTCTGGCAAGGACTTGAAGAGCAGGCAAGGGAGGGAGATGGGGACAAACGCGTCCTATTCCAGCGGGGACCTCAGCCTTTAACAACAAGATGGAGGGCTTGGAGGCAATTAAGGAGAACACAAAGACTCCGAGAATCGAAAGGCCTGAGGGAACAGAAGGAGACATGAACTGGAGGAGCTGGGGGAAGGGCAGGCAGGTTGTGTCTGTGGCTCTGAGACTGCTGGCAAGAGTCACTGCAGCTGCCCTCCTACTGTGACTCAGGAGGGTGGTCCTGACTGTGACAAGGACCCCACTTCAGGAATTGTGTTTGTCCAATGGGTTTGTCTGGTGGCCTAAGTTTCTAGACGTCCCCTCTCGGGGAGCGACTTTGCCTAGTGCTCTGTTCTCAATTCCATCATTCTTCATTTCAAATCTAGTTATACCCCCATCACCTTGGCTAGCCTCCTGGGTAACGCAGTAAGGAGAAGCATTCCAGAGCTGCTCAGCTCTTTGCCCTAGTCCCAGAAAGAAAGACACTATGGCCTCAGGAACAATCTTCTTTCCCGGTAGGAGTTTCCCAAGCTCCACAGCTGTCTGGAATCACCCAGGGATCTTAACAGCGAGGGTGTCTGTCCACACCCAGGCTTGATCTCAGAGCCTAAGCACTAGGTGTCCTACACATACCTCCCTGGGCAAACCCGTAAGAGAACCGCTGCCCAGGCAGATGTGCTTTCAAATAAATATCCTGAGACTTACTTCACCTGTTTACCAAGGGAAATGGGAAAGGAAACCATGCTTGGAAGAGTAGAGCTAGAAGGCTGGTCTCTTTGCTAAGGGTGAAAAATCAGAAGTGACTGTCCCAGTTCCAGAACCTAAATGGTATCAGTTACAAGACATTTTTAAGACAATATCCCTTTGAAAAGGTGACTAAAACACTTAAGACATTGCGAAAAAGTATCAAATTGGCTTGAATTAGGCTGGCCAGAGCTCAATAGACCACAACACAGCAAATCAAGGCATAATTGTGATCCAGTCATTGGAGCAATGCACCTGAACCATCTGAAAGCTTGTCAAAGCAGACTGTGGGGTCCTAGCCCTGGTTTTTATTCAGTAGGTCCTGGTGGAGTACAAGCATGTACATTTCTAACAAGTTCTGAGATCTGTGGCTGTTGCTACTGAAGGAATCCTTCCAGGAAATCTCAGCGCTGGCCAATAAGGAGCCTGACACTTCCGCCCACGGCTGTTCATGGCTGTAGAGATGTGGTCTGCCTTCGTCATTCTTCAAATGCTATAACATCAGACTGAATGAAACAAGGAAGCCTCAGGCCAAAACTAAGGGATTGGATAGATCCAGAACCACATTACTGGGGAGCCTGAAGTATTTGGAATTACAGGATGTTTTTCTCCCCTGTGCCCCTTTCAGTATTTACTTCAAAGAACGGGGCTTCAGGATACTATTAGATTTGAATATATATATTCAGACGAATCAGTAAAATACCTTGGTAGGTTTAAGCTTGTGGGAAAAGCTCTATCAGGGGTTATAAATATTAAAAAGTATTTATGATATGGTGGTTGTAGATAACTTTGCTAAAAAGATAGCTGGAAGTCTGGTGGGATATGCCGTCTTTTACTTTCTCCATTTTCTCAGATCAATAGACAAGAAAACTAGTAAACAAGAAAACAATTCGTTCTTAATAGTAGACAAGTGTTTAATAGTCCTAGGAAGGATGCAGTCCAGCAAAGTGTAACGGTGTGGGGAGGGGGACTTTGGTTTTTAATGGGCACTACTGATCCGGGGACAGCAGTTGGTGGCTTCTACTACGCTGTTGGCTGCCTTGTAGGTTCTGGAGCCTGCAGGGTCACCACAAGGAAGCCATCAGTCAGAGTCAGCCTCTCCTCTGTTGCTGGTTAAGGACTTGGGGGAGTGCTTCTGATTTGGTTTTTATTTTTTATACACTGACATGTAGAAATAAAACCAAGCTCTCAGGAAAGCAGAAGTGGTATCTTTTCCCTACCATCTGGACCCCCAGGTTCCACATTTGCCACTCAGAGAAATTTTGAATGACTCCCAGTTTTCCATGGTTCTTTATCTATGTGTCTCTGGCTTCAACTCAAGAAACTTTCAATTATTTTGCTTGTCTACAGTACCAGACTGCTACATGGTCATTTTTCCATCTTTATTTTCACAGGGGAAAAAATGTAGCTTTACCAAAATATGTTTTTGTAATCGGAAAAACTCATTATTAGTTTTTAAAAACAGGGGAAGCTACAGCCTTGCTTTAAAAGGAGCAATAGAAGTAGTTGAAGTGGTACTGAGAACTGAACCCAGGCCCGACACACACTAAGCGCAAATTCTTGCTGAGCTACACCCTCCTTGGCCATTCTAGCCCCGTTTATTCACAGACTCACTTGCTGATAATGAGTGTCTCCTCTCCGCTGATCCAGACTCTCATGAACTCCCCGTACATCTTATTATAGTAGTTGCAGGCATTTCCAATCCCCATCCACAAGAACCTGCCATGGGAAATGAGGGGCCCAATTCCCAGACAGTAGCCAGGACCTACAACAAATCATGAGACAATAGTGAACTTCTTAACTAATGCCAAAAATAGTTCTTTCATATTTAAATTTTTTTACCTCTTCTGGTCTATATGTGAGTCACTCAACGTGATTTAAAACAAAACCAAGTGTGATACGAGACTCTCTACCTCTTCATGAATGAAAAGTACATGGCTTCACACTAGTTCCCCTTGATCTGTCACTTCAGCCCCACTAAACAGGAGGCTGGCTCTATGCGAATTTCTGAGAGTCCCAAATAAAACTCGGTTGATCTGTCTGGTAATAAACATAGAGACTGTGGTAGATAACAAGCTGGTGGACTGTATGACTTCCTGCTGCTCTGATCTGGAAGTTCTTGGTTGTGAACAACCCAGTTGACAGAACGAATGAATTGGAACTGAGCATGGCTTCCTTTCTTGTGAGAGACAGTCTGCAAGGACAATATCCCATCTCAGAATATCCACTACTGTAAAAAGCCTCAGTTTATAAAAAGGAGTCTTAAGCAAAATATCTCATGATGTACAAGCCTGAGAACTCATTACTGCAGTGAAGAACTCTATCTACGCTAGAGCTCATGTACCAGGATCTGCTCTCAGCCCAGAGCAATAGCCAGCTTATAGCCTTGCTTATGTGGACAATGGTAGTATTATTCAAAGCATGAACTCAGAGAAAAGGAAGGGAACTTCCTGTGGTTTATGACACAAAATGAACTTAGAGCTTAAATTTGGTCTGTTAGACTTTTAGGTCGGCATGCAAAGTAGTGGGTTGCATTATGTGCCCAGCACTTTTACACATATATGCTGTTATACTTTGCATATTTTTGAGAGAGGGTTAAACTACTTAGCTGAGGGTGTCCTTGAACGTCAAGATTCTCCCACCTCAGTTTCCCAAGTGTTGGGAATTCAATCAAACCTGGTAGACTTCATTGTACTAGTGGTTGGTAAAAAGTTAGATAATAATTCAATACTGTACAATTGTCAGGTAAAATAATTTTTCTAAATATCTTTAAAAATTCCTTGTGTCAGTGAAATTGTTATATAGCCAAGTATGTCTAATTGTATGAGACAACAAGAGCTATGTGATCATCTAGATGGTGTAAGCTTTCAGTTGAATCATCTGACCTAAATGCTTACTCCCAAATTTGGCAAACAGTATTTAACCATTCATTTTTTAATAACTAAGTCCCCACTAATACAACTATCATACCTCCTGCCCATGTTTGAAGAAAAGATCTTTGAATCAAAAGGTCAATGGAAGCAAAGATTTTCAGTCTTCTAACTCCAGCAGCACCACATTGTATCATAGATGATTGACATTATATTAAAATAATTCCCTTATGTTCCTTCAAAGATGTAAACAAGCAGATTGTATTGAATGTATATTTCTTCAAAAATATCAAATATATCAGCTTCTGATCTATTAAAATGTGTTGTAAACAAAATGTCATTTATATTATAACTTAGTACATCACAGATGCTCAGTAAATGTTTTCAAATAAACAAGATATGTGCATATAACATAAATAGTGAACCTTTTATTTTTGACACATATACACACATACACATGCACATACAAATAAAAGCAATTGCTGTTCCTCCTTAGGGTACTTTAGGCTGTATTTATGTTTTGATCAAAAATGGAAGACTACCACACAACATACATTTAGTCTACACAAGGCCAAGTATTGACTAAGAAAAGATTTGTCCCCAAATTTATTTACGTAATAGTCAAGCCACGTGAGACACAAGGACAATACAATAAATGGATTGTATTTGGGAAGCAGTATTCCCCTACTATCCCCTACTAGTACAGTATTTCCCTACTGTAAAACATAGAAATGTGAAAACATTTTGAGATAGGTCTTACTATGAAGTCCCTGGTTAGCCTTGTACTTGCTTTGTAGACCAGGCTGGCCTCAAACTCACAGAGATTTTCCTGCCTTTGCCTCCTGAGTGCTGGGATTAAAGGTGTGTGTCACCAACCATGCCTGACTGAAGTGAAAACATTTGTTTAAAAAGAAATTACAATGGAGATTTGTATCTGCTGGAAAATGAAGATTTCTAGACAGTATATGGGTTAAAAACCTGAGTGTTCTACCAAGACGAGGAGCAGAGTTTGGGGTTATTAATGACCACCTGTATGTCACCTTATTTCATACAATAAACACTTAAAGAGGTCCTATTATAGATATTTATTTCAATCAGGGTCTAGATACCATGATAAGTATAATAATTCTATATTCTTCAAGGTAGTTGAGGAGATGACGTGAAAAACATAAAAGCAAATAATTATGACACACCATACATCTATAACTGTGTGCACATACTCCTTGAATTTACATGTAAATCTTGCACCACACCCAGATGAAAAAACCTACTCTAAGAGGTATAATATGAATGAAGTATTCTCATCCCCTCCACATTAGGCAGCTCTCAGCTTCTCAGATTTGACTGCTTCTCTGGGCATAGGATGATGGCGAGAGACTCCCTCATCCACTCCCAGGAGCAGTAAACACTTCCCTGTACACTGATGTGCCCAGATAGCCCCCTTAAAACCAACAGCTAGGAAAATGTCCCAGCTCTCCTAGTCAGGGAACTGGCATCCACACCTATGAATACACCCTGGAGAGACCCAGGCACACACTTTTACACAAATGCTGTGCACAGTAACCCAACTGGAGACATCGCCTGATGAGTAAACCATGAGATACGCACACCATTCAAAACTGTGTGACAGTGGAAAGGAAGCACATTGACATCACCATCATGAGTGGATCTTACTGGCGTACAGTAATCAAAAGGAGGAAGAAAGCCAAGTGGCATGCAATTTATTGATAAAATATTTAAAGCAAGACAAAAACTGTATTGTCTGGGGATGAGAAATTGGTTCCCAAACTGTAACACAACAAGACAGTTATTTTGTAACAATTAGCAAAATGTTTACCTCTGAGGGAGACAGAAGGAAAAAGAAAAGGAGGGGAGAAGGGGAGAGGGAGTGAGGGGGAGTGAAGGGGAGAGGAGGAAGGAGGAAGGGAGGGAGAGGGAGGAATCTGGAACACTGTTAACATCCTATGCCTTGTACGTTTTTTGTGAATCATTTCCTTAAGAGAGAAAGAGGGACATGTTGTCATGTCTGCTTCCTCGTGTCTTGCTCTGGGTATGTGATGCCCAGGGAGAATGTGTGATCTGGAGGGAAAAGACTGATGTCAAGATTGGAGTGCCTGTGTGTTCTTGAGGCAGGGAGAGTTGCCAGGTAGCTAACAACAGCAAGTCCTGACCAGAGATCAGAGGACTTGGGATATTTACAGGAATTGAAGCGACACCACTTCCCGTAGGAATCAGTCCTTACTCCCCAACTCTTGCAGCCTCCTCCCCCTCCCTCTCAGCCTGTCCTTGCCACTTTCCAGGTTCTTTGCACATCCCTTGTCACCAAGCACCAGGTCTAGCTGGACTTCCCCGCAAGCATAAATGAAGTTGCTTAGACCTGAGTCCCTGGGCTGTAAGTACAAAAACAGTCACTAACATTACGGGACAGAGCAGGAAGCTGCCTTAACTGGAACTTACTAAGTAAGGGTTTTTAACCACGACACCTTTTGAATTCCCCTTGGTTTTGAGGACCCAGAGTACCCTAAAACTTGTGAGTCAAAGAGCCCAGAGAGCCATGATTCAAGAGCAGTAACAGAAAGAGCTGGGAGAACAGCCAGCTTTCTTATTTCTTATGCCCAACAGAAGCCAGAGACTCCTGGACTTTGCCCCTGGAGAGAACTGACCAGATTTCCCGTATTTCCAAGGCAAAGTGTGAATGTAGGTCGGAACTCACAGCCCGAGACTAGGGACTCCTGGTCCTCTGCCAGGGTTCCTGTCTTCCTTCTAGTTGGGCATCAGCAAGCCATTTTCCTCCTCTGGGATTTAAGCCTTTCTTTTGTTTGGACTTTCTGGCTTCTCTTACCTTTCATAACATGTTACCCAGAAACACAGATCATCTGGGGGGTGGGACTTTACCCTTCTGTCTCACGGAGGAGTTGGACTTATCCTGTGGCTTTCAACCTTGGCTGCTCATGAAACACCACCAATGAAGGATTCAGAATATCGACCTGGAGGCCCTACCTCAGACAGGGCTAAGGACCCAGCGGTGATTGCAGCTGTGAGATCCAGTGGTGATTACTGTCTAGGTGACTGCCACTGGCCCATAAGTGGTAGGCACAAATAAGTGCCACCTAGTTTCCTGATTCAGGCCTGAGGGCTGTCAGTTCTCACTGGTTTTGTTTTTAAGAACATGTTTTAGCTGGGTGTGGTAGCCCATGACTTCAATCTGAGCACTCGGGAAGCAGAGGCAGGTGGATCTCTGTGAGTTCAACACATATCTGGTCTGCACTACATAGTGAGTTCCAGGCTAGACAGATAGCCAGAGAGAGCTACATATCGAGAACATGCTTAAGGGCATTGTAATTTAAACACTCTGAGAAAGGGCTTGAGGATCAACTAGCAAACTTCCACCTTCCAGGTTGTTCTTACACTAAAATTTGAGAGTGCGTGGCTTCCTTGATAGATGGCCAGTGCCAACCTCTCTTCTGTTTGCAAGCTGCTCCTACAACACGAGTGGCTTGGACTTCAGTGCCTGAGCCTATGACAAGGAAAAGAAGGAAAAAGCATCCTACTGTACCCCACCCTCAGTTTCAACCTCAACTGCTCCTTTTCCCCAACCAAGGAGCTCACCAAGGGAAACGAAAGCCATGGAAGGGGGCATCCAAGGCAAAGCCATGGGGGGGGGTTGCTGTCAGCTCTTAGACCTTCTCCTCCAGACGTGACCCCACCGGGGAGAAGAGAGAAAACTCGGTTCAATGCTCAGCTAAACTAGAAACTAATGTAACGTAGAGTGAAACAGAGAGACGGGCAATTATCTTCAAAAAGAAACCAGACATACATTTTGTCTCTGCTCTCCCCAGCCCAGCTGCCACTTTCAGTTGCCCTGTGTAGAGTCTTGGCACATTTGTGAATGGGTGGCTACTATGGTGTTAAAACAAGCCTTGTTGGATATCTTATGGAGTTAGAAACCAGTGATGACCGTGAGGGATTCACACCCAACTTAAAGACATTATCTGGGATTTCTGTTTATTCTGATCATTTCAGCAGCAGGGACAAATGTTTTCCCTGGGATTATCAAAATAATTCTATCAGTCTCTGCTTTTGGTTGACACACAGTCCTTGTTAACAATTCTGTCAGAATGCAACGCTCCTAGAAAAAGGCTCTAGTCCCCAGTCTTCTCCCACTGCCCAGCTCCCATTCAACCGTTATGGTGACATTGCTGCCACTGTCACCACGATACCAATAAAGGAAAGTGAAGAATAAGATTAAGAGAACGAAGAAATGCAAGGAAAGGAGACTGTATGGATGAGGCAAAGTAGAAGAGGGAAGACAGAAGGGAGGGCACCCAGAGACACTTCCACCTGTAGAGCAGAACTGGAATGAATTTGAATCTGTTTTGCTTTTTTAATTAACGAAATCTCTAGAATTTTACCTTGCTCCACTCCATCTCAAGCTTGCCTTTAAGGTACCTTCTGTGCCAAAAGCCTATGCAGAATGGAGAAAGCGTCTACACAGCTTTTGTGATGTGTGATCTGTTCATCTGCTTCATGCAGATTACCAGCTTTACATTTCTCAACTTAGTGCTCGCATGCTAGTACAGCTGTGTCTTCAGAAATCTTCCAAGCGTTGCTCTTTGTCTTTTTACCAAAATATGTTTTGCTGCTATGAACCAGAGAACCCAGTGAAACATTCTTCTTAGGTACAGAACTAAAAAGAGCGGCTCACCTGGTATTGAAGATGTGCTCTCACAATTCCAAATCAAGACAAGGAGGCCCATGATCAACAGGAGTGGCATGGCACTGGCGGGCATTGCTCCTGGGACCATGTTGGTGACATTGTAGTGCATAGGATTCAGCATTTCCAGAAACATCTTGTGATGTTTGGCCTTAGAAGGAAAAATTCAAAGTTCTATAGGAATAAAGCAATAATGAAGTTAGAAAATAAACCAACAGGCTTGGGTACGACTCCTGCCACTTCTGAAGGTGCTGGAATGGAGAGTTGGGCACTTTGTTTTATAGTGATTGGGTACTTAAACAAGACAAATTTGTGGTTACAAGTCAAAACAAGGATGACCTTGGTAGACTCAGGTTCTGTTCAACTGTTGGTCTGACAGAACTTTATCATCTTGCCCTTGAATGACTAGAGTGATGCGTGTGCTCAATTGAGAGTCAACTCTCTGAAGTTCATTCCAAAGGAACACTGTGTTATTTAATCAGGAGCTTTTGCTATGGTAATCCTCTTTCTCGGCTTCTACTTAAAACAAACTCAGTTAATAAAACAAATCAAGGACAGGTAAAGGCTCCCATCACTAAATCTAGCAACAGGAGTTCATCCCCCAGGACTCACTGCACACATATGTATGTACACACACACACACACACACACACACACGCACACACACATACACGCATGCACGCACGCACGTAAATATATAAATATAAAAAATAGGTAAAATTAAAGCAACACAAGCAATGTCCCAATTCCTTCCCTTGGTCAAAATTACTTTCCCAGATTGTACGTTTCTACAGAAAGAATGCATTTCCTGGATACCATCAAAGTGTTCTGGAGGTCTTCATTAGGGTGTCTGTGAAACTCACGATGTGTTAAACATGACCGTCTTTCTTTGGTGACTTTAATGGGGACCTGGAACAGGACTCCAGACTAGTTAAACAATGTTCATGAGGGTCAGCATGAGAGGCTGGGGTAGGGGTGGGGAACAGGAGAGGGAGAATAAAGAGAGGGGAAAGAAAAGGAACAGGAAGGAGAAAGACGATGGACAGGGCAGCATGCCCCAGTGACAGGCTCTGATGCCACTCAGTCATCTTGTCCCAGTGATAACTTGTGTCCTGTGCAGGATACTTCCTTTTTGGCCTCAGCTGGTTTTCAGCAAGAGTATGCTATGGGTCTTTCAGTCATGTTTTATCAGCTCTATTCGTAGGGAGAAGCTTAGGCATGGCAGTAGTTCCAACAGCTGAGTTGAAGAAACTTGTATCGTTATCATCAAATGTATTTTCCGGTGGCAGAAGACACCCTCCCAGCTTTGCCCTTATGTAGTAAGTGCTAGAGGTCAAGGAGACTTGCCAAGACTGACTGGGTTTTTACATTGCACTAGAACTCTATATTTACAAAAGTGACCTCAAATTGAATGTTAGGAGTTCTGTGGATCCCCGATACACTACAGAAAATTTTGTGTGTGTTCACATACACTTTTTTGTTGGTGGTGGTTTTTCAAGACATGGTTTCTCTATGTAGTCCTGACTGTCCTGGAACTCACTATATAGACCAGCCTGGCCTCAAACTCAGAGATCTGCCTGCCTCTGCCTCCTGAGTGCTGGGATTAAAGGCGTGAGCCACCACCATACTGTTTCACATACACTTTTTTAATTTATGTGTGTGTTCGCATGTGTGTATGCACAAGTGTGTGCAGGTGCTTAAGGAGGCCAGAAGAGGGTGCTGGGCGTCAGGAGCCCTGGAGCTAGAGGTACAAGCATTTGTGAGTTCCCTGACACAGGTGCTGGGAACTGAATTCAGGAATTCTGTAAGCATCCAGCATTTCCAGTCCCTAAGTGGCCTCTCCAGTCCTCACATGTACTCCTCAGAGGAGAAAGGCCACAACTGTCACCGAGTTCTAACCTACTATGTGGTAATATTTCTCCCCTGATCTTTGTGTGACCTTTGATTTCTAGCAACTATAGAGGTTTCACAAAATTGAACTCATTCAGCTCGTTCATCACTTTGTTAACTCGTTTTATTTCCCTACCATTTAAATAGTAATTATGTACAACACTGAAAATTGCCTGCGTATGTGTCGAGCAGCTTAATTGTTGGAGTTTTCTGATTGATCTAAGTGGAGAAAGACCAGCCAGAAGTTGTTATTAGTTGCTTCCTTTGTTAATGCATAGCTACTTTTAATGAGTTAATGATTTTTTTTATTTTTCAGAGAAAAATATGTTCAGTAGAAAAAAAAGACTAGGCCACTGAGATGGCTCAGAGGGTAAAGGTACTTACAACCAAGTCTGACAACCCATACACTAGCAGGAGAGAACCAACTCTCACACTGTCCTCTGGCCTCCACAATGGCATTTGAGCACACGCACGCACACACACACACACACACACACACACACACACACACACACTAAAATTGAACAAATTAAACAGTGGGAGAGAAAGAAGAAAACAATGTTCAAGTATTTTTGATAGCTTTGTTTTAAAAAAGAAAGGTTCATGTTATATTGCTCAGGTAGACTTGAACCTTGCATTCACCTGCCAGGACTGGGGTTATGGGAATGTACCCCATGCCCAGATTAAGAACCTTGCTTGATTCAAGCAATGTTCACACAAACCTTTAATCCCAGCATTCAAGAGGCAGAGGCAGGCATCTCTGAGTTCAAGACCAGCCTGGTCTACAGAGCGAGCACCAGAACAGCTGGAGCTACACAAAGAACCTTGTATGGAAAAAAACAGAGAGAAAGAGAAAAATCACTTTAAGATATGAACTGTTTTAAATTATTGTGTATGAAAATATTTATTTTATTATTTTTCTTCTAAGAAGCATAAGTTGTGATAAGAGCAATGTTTTGACCAGAAGATTTAAAGGTCATAGAACAATAACAAATATTCTCTAGTGTTTCCAGATTGTTTTGCACAGTTTCTATTGCACAGCCATGTTTACAGTAGTCAGCTGCTACTCAAAGTGGAGGCTGCATAGGTCTATATTCAAACGGGACTAAAAAGTCTGACTTCTCAAAGGAATGTCAAACTTCCATGGGAGTATCACATTAACAAAAACAGAAAAATGATTTTTGTAACACTTCCAAAACATTGACTGTATGTCAGATACTATCCCAACACCAACCCTGTGAACAATGTGTGATTATGCCCATTTCACACAAGGAGAGAGAGAGCCGTGGGAGGGTCAAGTGGCCTGTCCCAGGGTGCCCAGCCTCTGTATGGCAGAGCCTGGATTGGCACCCACATGGTCTTCTCCATGCACATGTTTTTATTTGTGCCATGCTGTTGTTCGATATGGCAGTCTTAGGGTCTCTACATTTGGATACTTCGCCATCTTTTACAGGATAGGTTATTTAGAATGAGCCGCTTTAAGGATTAAGTTTTTCTGACGTCTGGATGGCACAGGTAGAAAGTTCCCCTGAGATTCCTGTCTCACTAATCTTGGGTTTTGTGTTTGGTAGAGCACTCTGATGAGCTATGTAGGTTGGTTGGACAGAATCTTTGGAACAGCAGTACAGGAATGGAAAAAAACCCTGCAGCTTCAGAGAGGTAGCTTCAAGTCCCCTGGCAGTAACACCATGCTCTTACCCCAAGGCACACATGCAGAGCTGTTTCCTGTGAGCTGAAATGTTTCTTCCTGGAGGCAGACAGAAGGCGCAACTTCAGCGTGTTCAGAATGTGGCGCGATTTGTAAGATTCCTCCCCAGCATTGTAGAAGTGGGAAACAACCGCTGGGGAGAGGAGAGACTCTTCACTGGAGCTGCCTGCAAGTTGATCAGAGAGTTCCTAGTGTGTCACCTCTATGAGTCACCACCCATGCTGGGGTGGACCTTTTGGTGAAGCACCTGCCACTGAGTCACCTATGACACCGATAAACTCATTGTCTCACTAGGATAGATTTGGGAGAAATCATATATTTAATCTGTTATCAATAGCCTATCAGGGACAGATATAAATTTGTTCACATTTCCCCAGGAAAAGTCATACAATACAGACAGACAGACAGACAGACAGACACACGCACACACACACACACACACACACACACACAATAACAGACACGTATGACTTTCGAGGGCTCAGTGCCTTCAAGAGCAATATTACAACATAAGTCTCCACTGGTTCTCTGAGGGTCACAGCCTCAGGTCATTCTACTGTTATCTTCAGGTAGTCTCTACCTGTTATGGCATCCCATGCTTGGGCCCACCCAACACAGGGCTCCATATACTTGATCTCTCCAGGCCTACCTCTGTGCTATTTATAGCTTCAGGTGCCCTAACTGATGCTTTCCTTTAATGCCCTGCCAACCTTAGGGTAAGGAAATGCCAAGCCTCTATGCAAAGACCCGAAGGGACATAGCACAGCTTTGGTGTTCTGGCAATCTTGGGAGTAGGACCCAGCCCTAAGTCCCATAGACTAAAAGGGATCCCCAGATACCCTGGTTAAAGCCTCTGCAGGGTGGGGATGTAGATCTGGCCAGACTTTACTGCAGCCTACCTTTCATCTGACAGTGGTCTGTCTACCAGGGAGACTATCTGGTCATTCTGAATCTGAGAGATGAGTGCAAGTCTCCCTCTTTCTCATTCTCTCCAGTATCCTCTTGCTCCCTCTTTTATATCCCTCATTCCTGAAGAAACATCACCTAGCCATGTTGATCCCCCTACTGCACCCCTTTATTTGGACTCTCCCCAGGGGAATGTACCACTAGAAGCAAGACAGATGTAACCTTGGCTCCCTGGGGTTGACAGGGTCTGAGGAACATATGAACACTTATTGGTTGGTTTTTCCAGTGACGACTTCTACTGGGGGGTGGTCTTTCTGCTGGAGGACATTCACTCTAAGAAGTAGAGACATTCTGACGATAGTAAGATGGTATCTCAGAGTTGTTTTAATTTTATTTGTAATATCCAGAACCTGGAAGCAACCTAGATGCCCCTCAACTGAAGAGTGTATGGAGAAAATCTGGTACCCTGTATGCTATACTAGAACCTTCATCCAGTGGCTGATAGAAGCAGAGGCAGACACCCACAGCTAAACACTGAACTGAACTCCTGGAACCCGGTTACAGAGAGGGAGGAGTGATGAGCAAAGGGATCAAGACCAGGCTTGTGTAACCCACAGAAACTGCTGACCTGAACAAGGGGGAG